TCACGAGGGAACTGAGGTCATGACGCCCACGCCGCCACCCCATAAAACTATTTTTATGGAACGAGCGTGCCTTGCAGTGGACCCGGAAATGAAAAGCACATTTTTGATTTAATTATTTCTGTGCTGAACCGAGCACACCCCCCATCAGCCGTTTCCATTCATTTAAAGTGTTTTACTTTTTCATTCCTTTGATTGTTTGTTTGTGTGTGTTTGTTTATTTATTTGTTTGTTGATCGATTCGAAACTAAGGGTATGCAAATTGTCGGTAAAAAGTAGGGGTTATGTTTTCTGTTTATCTAAAGGGCCGGAATGCTTCTGCTAGTTGCCAATGCTGAATTCGATCCAATTAGTTGTAGAAACGGTGACAAAGTCCTACGGAAACATGATGCCGCAACATGTTGCCCCTTGGGGCGTTACCAAGTGAAGAGTTTTTAATGGCCGGGATCGCATAAATGGCAAGGGTGCTGCACAAAAACTTGTGCCAGCTGCATGGCAAAAGAGCAAAGTTTACGGGGAAAGTTGTCTATATGTATGGGGGGGGTATATAAGTATAAGTGAAAAGCACACCCACCTGGGCAGTGATGGTACGTGTAGTAGTCCACTACCCACCCACGTTACTCACTAAACTTGTCGACACTGGGCTATTTACCCACTTTAAGCTCACCTTTCCGCGCCAGTCGGCGTGGGAAAACGTTGCCAGCATTTTGCACCTTCCGAAGACTTACCGGTGGAGCAAGAACAATGAAAGTCACGGGTCGATGAATGGGGGCCAGACCTAGACCAGGACAAAGTGACTGCGCTCGTGTATTCATCAGCCGTAATGCCGAATGGGAAGCCGTTCTGCGACATCAAAGCCCCACTTGAAATGGCCGAGAACTCATAAATTACCAGCACAAATGGTGCGGGCATTTAAAGTCGAGACGTGCGAGGCGAATATATGCGATTGCCATTGCGATTGCCACAATCCACATGCTTTTTGGCCATTATTTTGCGCGACTACCGCCTGTTTCCGTTTTCCGTTTTCGGTATTCTGTTTCCGCGAAGCGAGAAATTCAAATTTGGCAAAGGTTGTCTGTGTCTGTGTCTGTGCGAAAATTGATGCACGGGAAATGAAGAACGGCAATTAGCGATTCACGAAATGCATGGTGAAAAGGAGCCATCGATGCGGGCATAATGTGCTCCACGGATATAATGCCAGGCGACAATTGGATGGATGGGTTTAAGATACAGTTGATTGCCTAAGAACAAGAAGAATGCCTTTAAGGATCTGAAAGAGAAGAGGCAACATGTCCACTGGGCAACAGTGCGTATGAGCAATTCCAAAATAGTTTCACAAGCAAACACGTGGCATGGCCATCTAAGTAGAAGCACTCATTTGCCACAGAGAATTGAAGAGTTTGACATATGTGTACCAACTATTTGGTCTTTGAAAAGTTTCCGACCAAATGGCAACTGCTACTTTCGCACACCCAAATTGATGCGGTGCCACCCATTCGGTTGCCACTACTTAAAGCTGCAGCTTTCACTTTTGGCCGGCAATGCAAATTACTGGCCAACTGTGGCATTCTATAATTGACATTCCTTTCGATCGATTGCACTTTTAAGTGGCACCTCCGCCAACACACGTGGCCGCATCCGTTTACCGTTTACCGTTTCCCATTTCCACAAACGCCCAAGGAGCAAAAGACGAACTGCAGGCCAGGTTATGCACTCAGAAAAACTTTGGCTACTTTTACTGCACAATTTTCCTATCATCAGGAAAAGGTACGTTTTTTAGAGCTACTCAATGATTTATAGTTTCATACAGCAAAAGGGAAAAAGATTTTTTCGACAATTAAAGAACCAAAAAAGTAAGAAACAAAAAAAGTTACAGTTCAGAATAAACTTGTAGCAACGTGTGAGGGAATTTTTAAAATTTGTACGTTTGATAATGATAATAATTATTAATATCCAATAAATTTAAATAATAACACTATGTAAAAAATGTATTATATTTTAAACTTTACTTATTTCCGATGAGTGTCGCATTGCCTTCGGATGCGATTAAGTGTATCGCAAGCGCATTAACACAAGCGGTGATTATTGCGTACTCGCTGCCATTAAATACATTAATCGCCCTGAAATAAGCCATCAACTGCAACGAATCAACAAGGACTCAACAGATGGCTGTCGATATTCGAGTGGTCCTTCAGTTTATGCAGCTATTTGGTCCATTAATAGAGTTCATTGGGCTTTTCGTACGCCAACTGCCAGCGAGGCTAATCAAAACGTAATGGCAGTGGAGCAATTAAAGGCGCAACATGGCTGAAAGTCGACGGCAACCGTTTTCCATTTGTATTCATGAATATCATCCGAATATGTGCCGAACTCCTCGTTCCATTTTTTTTGTTTTTTTTGGCACATCATTGTCTCTACTTGGGATATGTGCTCTGAGCCGTTGCCAACTTTTGCTGGTATGCAAATGAATGACATGCTGATGACACGGCAAGTTTAGTGACAGCCGCAGACGAAACAACTACAGTCATCATAAGCATGGCATTATCCACTACATGTGTGTGTGCACATAGTGGGTACCCTTATCCGCACATCCTTGCCATTTTCATACGCAATAGTCTCTTTCGTCGTCAAATATCTGCGACAGTTGCCCACTTTTGCAGTCATCAACATGCCAGGCACAAAAAAGAAAGTCCCGATGGAATATACGAATGAAAAACACGCTATTTGGGTTTTTTGTATGCCTTGAACTATGTAGTGCTAATACTTTAATACGTTTACATTTTGATAATATATATAGATGCATTTACTTTTAATATAAGCTCTTAATAATTTAAATAAAAACGTAGTCAGAGAGTTATATAACATATTTGAATAGGACACACCCTGTTAAAGATTTGTTCATGCTTTAAAGTTAGGTAAACTAAACTTAAACTTGAATATGTTTGTTCTCAGGTTGTGTATATTTATACATGAAAGTAAAATAAATAAAAATAAATAAACTTAGGTGAATAAATCCATGGTACATATACTGGAATATGTTTGTTCTCAGGTTGTGTATATTTATACATGAAAGTAAAATAAATAAAAATAAATAAACTTAGGTATATAAATCCATGGTACATATACTGGAATATGTTTGTTCTCAGGTTGTGTATATTTATAAATGGAAGTAAAATAAATGAAAATTATTTGTAATTATAAAACCAACTTAAATAAATTTAATTTTAAATTTATCGTACCCACACTTAAACACTTTGAAATTTGTGTATTGTTAGTTTGTAATTATACAACAAATTAAAATAAAAGCAAGTCAGCAAGTAGTAGTTTATTTTCGTTATTAATCAGATTAATAGATTGCATTACCAGTATTTTATCTATAGTCCAAAATGCCCCATCATGCTCTGGATATTTACCATAAAAAGGCGGAAATAATAAAATGCAAAATATTATTTTTTAATTAAGTCTTAATGGCAATGTCTGCCTGGCAGAACGAGGGCTAATCGAGGGTGGTGGGTCCGCCCACTCGCCAAATGCTGGGTGAATGCTAATGACCTTTTGCGAAAGGCAGGTGTAAATGGTAATGCTGCTTTTCGAGTGGGATGATACTGGGATATGGGATACTGGGATATGGAATGTGGAATATGGGACGACAGGACGTGCTCACAGTTTTCGACAACGCGCACGCAGTTTGCATATTTTCACATCATTTTGCATTTCTTTAAAGACACACCCAGTGGGCTGTGAGTGGGCGTAGGGTGGAGGAGAGTCACCCAATTGCAGGACCATTACACTAGCAAATGCGAGAAGATCTGCCATTTTACCTACAGTACAGTATTAACCAAAGTGGACCGTCGTTGAAACGGTAATTAATGGTATGGAGGCGACTCGACCTGACCGCAAATCGGAGGTCCTGTGGCTGCGTGTCCTTTTTGCCGATACTCGTCACTCATTCAATAAATCAATTAATCCAAAGTTATTAAGCGAAAGCCGTGGGGCAAGTCGATTGAAGAGATAAGGGAAACACTTAAGGGCTTATTGGAGAAAATTAAATTACATTTTCACGCTAATGAGCATCGCAAAAGGGGGAGTGGTGATTGGTAGTGGGTGGGTTCTGCGGTTTGGGGCTAAACTGTTCCCCAACCCTGCGTGCGTGTGTTAGTTTCGGGTGTAATTTCGTAATTTGTTCTGGCAGCAAGGAACTAATTTCGGATTTGCGGCAAGAGTTCGCAAATTGGGGGCGTTTTTGGCGCATCGACTTTTCATCATCATCCTGGCTTATTCATAAATCATGACCGGACTCGGAGCGCCAATCCCGTATCTTTCCACCTCATTTGGCCAGGCCAAGGAATTAATCAAAGTTGAGAGGAGCTCTCAACACCCATTGGGGCCAAAGGGATGTCCTTCAGAAGATTGCAGAAGCCGAAGATGTTCGAGATGCTTGAGATGCTTGAAGTACATTAGGTGAGTTAGGTAGATATGTTTGCATCATAAATACAACTCAAATAAAACAAGTCTTTGGTTGGCCAATTGATTTATGTTTGATTTGCTTAATGGACAATAATGTTAAAATAAACATCATTGACAGAAGGGAACTGCAGTTTTGTATAATAATGTATGATATAAGTTAGGTAGATATGTTTGCATATTAAAACACAACTTATATATAAAATAAGTTAATGTTTTGCTTTTTGATTTAAGCTTGATTCTCTTGATGGACCATAATTTTAAAATAAACATAAATGACAAAAGGTGACACCTCTTCGCTAAATTAATATATAATTTAAGCAATTTAGTTGCAAATGTTTGAGGTGATTAAGTTCCATTAGGTGAGTTTAGTAGATATGTTTACTATATAGTCTATGTTTGGCTTTTTGGTTTATGCTAAATATTCTTGATGGACAATAGTTTTGAATTTATTTGTAGCTTAAGACCTAACATTTTGCCAATGGCTTGATTTACGTTCGATTTTCTTGAAGGACAATATTGAAAATAAAAAACACCAATGACAGAAGAGAGCTGCATATCTTTGTCATATACTAATTAAACAATTTAGTTGTAACTTAAGAACTAAAATTTTAAACAATTATTTGATTTATTGATAGATTTGCTCCTTCTGTAGGTTTGGGTTCCCTATCCCAAGATCCATAATTAGAATTCCTAAAAAATATGTGGAGTGGGTTCGTTGGAACTGAAGGAGCGCAGGCCCAAGGGCAACTTCTGGCGCTGTTCCTGTCCAGGACGACGCGAACGCTGCTCCTTGCGAACACTCCAGTGCAATCTGTACAGCTCCTCGTCCTCCGACTGGTTGTCATCATCGTGGGTAATCTGAGCCATCTTCGAGGTTGTGGGCCTCTCGCTTTCCCGCTCCCCAGGTGGCTTCTTCTGGGCCAACTTTGTCTTGGACACGGAGTCACCGGGACGAGCCTGCAATGCTGGCGGTGCCTCGGAAAGGACCCCCAGAGAACTGGTCGAAGTGCTCTGGTCCAGCACCCGATCTCTAACCATGCCCCTCTGCATTTTCGAAATGGATAGACGCGGCATGCTGAACTCGAGTGGCTTCACCTGCTCCTCCAAACGCTTCTTGACCATACCAAAGATGCTCGGTCCCGGGCGACGTTCCTCTGGATTCCCAGCACCCGACTCCCTCTTGGCCATGGATGTCAGCTTCAATCCCGACCAGAGCTTAGCATACTTATCAGTTTCTGCTTCGGGCTTTTGATTAGCTTTCGGTTTCTCTTTCTCTGCATTGGTGTTGTTATTGTTGGAGTCCAAGAACGCAAAAAGGTCAAAGTAGAAGGGCTTCTTTGGTTCCTTTCCCACTCCGGGGGCCATGTCGTACTCGATCTTCTGCAGCTTGTAGACATTGAGATGGTAGCGCATATTGCGCACCCGACAGCGGACGAACTCGGGAGTCAAATGGCTGCCCATCTGAGCGGCGATCTTCTCCCAGGCACTGCGCTTCAGCTCCGCATCCAGGTGCTCCGGCAACGAGGTGTTCCACAGGCAGGGCTGCCCCTTGTACAGGTTCACCAGGCGCAGATTGAAGTCCTCCTCCTGGCTGGAGGGCAGTGAGGATTCGGCAGCGCGCATGGCCAATAAGCGGCGCTGCTGTTCAAGACGTCGTACCTCCATCATTTTGGAGCTGTCGGTTTGAATGAGGTTTCTTTGGAACGAAGTGTATTTCAGAGCCTCTTCGAGCAACTGTTAGCTAGTAAGGAACATCAGCTAAAACTATGCTGTGCTGTTGTTGTGAAAGCAAAGCAAAAGCAAACAAATTTTACTTGAAAATGTATTATTTGTTTTTTTTTTTTTTTGTAGCTGTAAGAGCATATTTTTCTTAGATTTTTGAAAGTAAAGCTATTAACAGCATTTCATAATATCAAGAAAACAGCGAAAAAAGCTTTCATGTTGCTATAAGCAAATTTAAAATTTTGAAAACAATTATCTTGAAACGGAATCGTTCAAAAAAGCTGACCAAAAATACTCAAAGCAACAGCTCAGCACAAGAAAAAGAATAAAAAGCATTGATGCATTTCCAAACCCTGATCGAAACCATCTAATAACATTAACTTTGAAAGAATGTCTGCTCTTACTGTCAATGCTCAAATGTTCGAAGAGTGCAAATTGGCTGGGTGGTAGAAATACAAAAAGGGAGGAAAAGGATAGACAGCAAGGCAAAGTGGAGGAGGCTGAAATGCCATCACTCACATGCCTCAGTGCATTCGCATAATTTGTGCAACGGAACGGGCGGTTTAAAGACATCAGAATGTGGCAGCCGCATACTTTACCCGGCAGTCAGGAAGAGGAAGCAAGTGCGTCTCATGAAAGTTGCCACAAAGGACATGGGAACCAACTAACCAACGGGGCAGGAACGGAGGGACATGGCACGTAAGTGGCAACAACGCTCAGAAGGAAGTTGTTAAGATTCCCGACTGTTGTTGTTGACAAAGAAAATAAATAGTGGTTTAGTTATTGCTTAAATATAAATGAAATTTTTTGATATTTAAATCAATTACGAAAATAGTTAAATTAAAAATATTAATATTTTTAAAAACAACACTAAAAGAAAATCAAAGCAAAAATGATTATTTTTTGAGAACAAAATATTTGGACCTACAAAGCTTTTTTAACTGTGTTCATTTTGCACACTATTTTTAATTAACAAAGCATACATACATAGCTAGATTATACCTATACTGTATATTTGTATAAAAAAACATATGTTAAAAAATATAGTAAAACGGTAATGCAAGCCTGATTTCTTAGTAAAAAAAAAATGCCTGCTAACAAAGTGACAATTTTATCAACCTTAAACGACTATAGTAAGTTTGACAAAAAAAAGGATATATATATTATTATGCACAATTCAAAATGTCCTCTAAAAAAGTAAAGAAAAAAAATAAATATATATATAGAATAAGTAATGCATTCAAGCAGAAGTCGAACTTGGGCCCTTTTTTCACCCAAGACCCAATCAACTTAAGCGATGCGCCACCAACCATTTGCATTCTACGCGCACAATGCGCCTCTTAGTTTTGTTCATCGTAAATCAAGTTGACAAAAACGGAAATCCAGAAGGCATTTACGTTTCTCGAATAATATAAAGCTCAGTGGCACGAGTATATGTAAAGCGCATATATGTACGTGTGAAGTTTGCTTTGTTTTCGGCTTCTTGGAAGAATCAAATTCAAATATATAAAACTTTTAAAGTCCGTTATGATTTTCTTGCTCTTTTATAAACTATGGACAGAATTATACAATTCTCATCTTAGGGTACAAATTTGTAATCCTTTAAGAGAAATTTAACATTTATTTAAATTTAAACTCAAATTCGATGACAGCCCAAAAATGTCAAAAATAATCGATTATTCTCTTAAATAAATTGGCCGAAACTCAACTCCTTGGTAACTCTACTTTTGCCCATCTCTAGTTGCTGCTGCCAAAACTCGATAGTCGCTAGTGTGACTGTACCTGAAAGTCAAAAAGTTAAATGAAAAATCCTAAAAAGCTAATTACGCTTTGAAAAGGCTTGTCTTAAAGATTTTATTAAAGGTTTGCTGTAAGTAAAGCAAACATAAGCTTTCAAACATAGATGCTATTTTGTATGGCTGCTTTTGAATTAGAAACTCTTTCATCTCTAAGGCTCACTGGAATTGGCAACTCCAGTCAAATTAAATCGCTGTCCAGGCCAAATCCGTCAACGCCCAGCTGTCCTTCTTCCATTGACGTGTGCCGGATACGAGTCTGTGTCCCTGTCCGTTTCCCTGTCCGTATCCGTGTCCGTTTCCCTGTCCGTTTCCCTGTCCGTATCCGTGTCCGTGTCCGGTAACTAGCCGATGTCTCGTGGGTGTGAGCCCGGCATTTAATTAATTTCGAGTCGCACTGGCTCCTCGACACCCAGGAAATGGCAAAGGGTTGCGGCATTTCGATCCGCACCATGTCGTTCGTCAAATGCAAATGCGACGCTCTTAATGGCAAATTTAAGTAAACAAACTGTGCGTGTGTGTGCTTGCCAATTAGACACACAGAAAAGCCACGGGAAGAGTGAACTTATTTAGGAGAAATTCGAATTTTGCAATTGTGTCGCCTAACGAACGTGAGTAATCAGGACTAATTGGCGTTGGGCCTCGCACGTTTGCATAATTCGACGATGAATATTGGCCAAACAACAGTCCGGAAATGAGAGGCGATGAGGCGGGGAAAACTCACAGCATTTGATTTCATCGCTCCGGTTATTGCCCACAGTTCTAAGAAAATAAGAAATAATACACCTAAAAAAAAGCATTAAGTAGTTAAACAAATATTTGTAAGAAAATTAAATTCCTTGTTGATGAGATAAAAGTAGACTTTTTAAAAATTGAGTTCAAATAAATTAAAATTATAAAATAAAAAATAATTTTTTTTATGGATTTAAAATGTTGCGTGGCTTTTCAAAATGCATTAATGCAGCTTCCTTTGGGGCGTGACGTTGTTTTAATTGGCCACTTGTGGCTGCGCACCACCCACTCCGCCCACTGAAAACTCGATTGGAATTATGTAGTTAGGGGAAACATTGATAACGAACAAGCGTAATTAGTAACATCAGATTTAGTTTTCCCAATTAATTACCATACATGTAATTTCAAAGCGATTTTTGAATTTTGCGGTTGCAACTCTATAAGCGGATTAAAAGGAGAATATCGTTTGCAGAATTTCAGTTGTCAAAATCAATTAGACTAATCGCTTGTCAATTTCCGATAGACAAATCGAAATTCCATGAGATGTCACATACATTGAAGTCACTTGAGTTAAATTTGTCGGCAAGTAAAATCATTAAAATTAAGCATTTCCGTGTGGATTTTCGATTTGCCTGTAATATTGCCGCCTAACGTGAAGTGCCAATTGCAATTGTTAAATAAAACCAAGAGCGGAACTGTGACTGCACACTTACACACAAGTGATTCCCTTTTTTCTATTTTTTTTTTGCTGAGTAATGGGTCAGATTGTGAGCTCAATGCAGGGCAAAGTGGCCGAGTTGTTTGGCAACCGGCTGAAGCGGCAGCGCGAGGATGAGGAACTGGACACCATAGCCGATCAGCCCAGGAATAAGATGAAGCGCCTGACCACAGCACAGTACGTATACCAGACGCTGTTCCTGGAGCAGAAGGGCTCGGATGTGACCATCATGGCCCTGGAGAGAGTGTGGCACCTGCACAAGATCTACCTCAGCCAGAGTCCCTACTTCAAGGCCATGTTCAATGGGCCGTGGCTGGAGGCGCAGCAGGATCTCATCAAGATTGAGATACCCGACGAACGGGTCACCGTTGAATGCCTGGATGCCGTCCTCGCGTCCTTGTACTGCCACGAGATCGAGATTTTGCCGGAGGATGTGATCTCATACCTGGCCACCGGCACGCTGCTCCACTTGGACGACATCATCGATAAGTGTGCCACGCTGATGGTAGAAAATCTGAGTGTGACAACGGTTATCGAGTACTACGAGGCCGCCTCGCAATACGGCCTGATGCCCACCAGGATGTCCACCATCCAGTGGCTCGAGATCAATTTGCTGATCACGTATAATGTGATGACCAGCGGTCAGGCTATCTCGGACTTCCTAAAGCCCATCCCAATCGAGCTGATGTGTGAGCTGACCGGCAGTCCGGATTTGTACGTGATCGAGGCGGAGTTCACGCTGTACAGACTGCTGCGGGACTGGATGTTTCTTCGGCTGCAACCCGACGACAATGCCGACCATCAACTGCCACTGCCTCAGTCCAATGAAGATCTCCAGAGGGCGAGCTCAGCGTACTTCAGGAACCGCGACGAGATGGTCTCGTTTCTGGCCACGCCCATGGGGCAGCCGTATGTGGGGGTCTTCCAGAAGCTACGCACCCAGTACCTGACCAACAGCTATCGCAATCTGAAGGCCATCTACGATGACAACATCATACCCAGGGAGTGGGTCGATCGCCACATCAGTAACCACTGGCATTCCCTGCTGCGGATCGATGAAGGGTCAAGCAAAGAGTGAGTCCTTTTGAAGCTACAGAGCAGTAATAATAAGCCGAAGTTTGCATACCCTTTGCTGCTACTACATGTACAAAAACAAACTTTATATCGAATTTTCAAATTGTATTTAGAAAAATTAAAAGCATAAAAATTATAATAAGACTCAAAGGTAAGCCCTATTCCATTACAGCATCTCAAAGTATTTTTGTATAAGCTAAGAAACAGCAAAGTTATAGGTTTATAACATTTTTTTTTCCGATGGTTCCCAAGGGAGCTTTATGTTATAGTTATAGAACGATTCTTGTACAGCTACATGCAATAAAAGCAAGACATTTGAAAAGGTTTTAAAAATGAAGGTCTAGTTAGCCCAGAAACGGACAGAAAAACGGACAAACGGACATGGCCATCGGATCGCTCCTATTTTTAACACTCTCTGCAAGGGTCGAAAAATATAATTTTATATATTTTGATTCACAGCCGTGCCCAGCACCTGGACGAAGAACAGTTCCTTGACAACTGTATGCGCTACGGGGTCATATTGCTCGAGCTTTGCGCCCAAAGATGGCGTTGGGTGGACTTTAACTACGGCATGGATCTGGTCATGGCCATAGACTCGAGTCTACTGAAGGTTCGTCGCCAACGTTGGCCCGAAACCAAGCATATGCTCGGCCTTCGCAACACGAACCACTTCATGGTCCGCGCCACGGTGACCTCGCTGGACGCCCAGGGCCGAGTAGTGTTCACCCAGTCGTCCCAAATCTGGTCGCTCAGCTGCGACGAAAACGAGGAGGTGCCGCTATTGGAGCTCGATCCAAGGCTGGTTTATCCACTGATCATCTGCGTCAACATGCTGACGGCGGTGCCGCCTGATCATAGCTTCAAGGACTTTGTACCGCTCTATGAAAAAGAGGAGACGACGTCGCTGTACAGCCGCAGGTAAAAAATATATTAAATTTAAGTGATTTATAATAAATTTAAATATTTTTCGATTTTGATTTTGTTCAATGCTATTGATTTAGATTTAAATTAAAATCATTAAGTATTTGTCACTTTGATTTTCTTTAAGTAAATATGGAAACCTATGATTTCTTTTACATACCATTTGGTATAGATTTGCACATCTAAATTTAAACAATATTATATTTAAATGTAAGACATAAAGGACCCATTATAAATATAATATATTCCATTTTAATTTAATTTAAATATTTCAATATAAAATCATGCAATTTAATAATCGTTATGCATAATATTATACTTTGAAATTTAATTTAATTATGAAATATATTACTATTTGGTATTTTAATATAAAGTATAACATTCGGGATTCAACAACCACATATTTATTTTAACTATTCCATTTTTTGTTCAGTTTATCCATTGAGAGCAACGGAGGGGACAACGAACGACCTCTGACTCCATCGTCATGCAGTGCCGAAGAATCGAGCGTCTTTATTGGCGAGTTGGAGCCCGATCCCTTGCCGCCATCCTATGACAGCGAAACGGAGGACAACGACTCCTAAGGACGATCATTGAAGCAGTCTAACATCACCGTCACCAGTACCACCATGTTCAATTATTTTTATTTTTATAGACCGTTCACCTCGTTAGTAAGGTTCCAATTGTATGACTGAGAAGATTAAATTACAAGAGCTGCAAAAAAAAATTGTTATTTACTGAATATTTGAATGCTGTAAATTCAATGCATAAAATTACTTCCCCTTCTTACATGCTTCAGTACGCACAATAACAACAACAGAAAATATTGTTCTTTAAATTTAAATGAAAATAGGGTGAAGGTAGAGGCATTACGAAAATCGTCAGACATTCGACTTGAGATGGGTTTATTTAAATTGTGATACAAAAATTACAATTTTCAACAAAGCTAACAGACATCAAAAATTTTTAATCTAAACTAAATCTCATTTTCAACACTACGCTCTTGTTCAATAGTTCTGTTATGCAACCCAATTAAGTAGCGTTTTATTAGGAAATTCCAGTTTGACAAGCGACATTTAGCCTTGGCCAACTTTTACTTCTCTATTTTTGTTTTCTCGACTTTTCAGCTACAACTTTGGTTAATAATTTGACCGCCAGGTTGTACGCATACTGTTCCCTTTTTTTTTTTTTGTTGCCCCCGCATTCCGAATAGACAAACGCAAATTTAATAAAGTCAGGCTGAAGCTGGAGCAAGTGCCCAGTCCGGTAATTGAGTTTTGATGGTCGAATGTCAGGCGCCTCGTCCGGCCACATCTGCTAACCCAGCATGTAAATAAGTTCCTGCCCACAAGTAGCCAAACAGAATCGCAGCATCCAGTTGGCCTAACGACCACCATTTGTTGCCATCGGGTGGCAATATGCGACTCATCATTGGCGCGTGGGGTGGTGGGGTCCCTTTCGTCCCGCTCGTGGCCACACTTATTGCGATTCCATTCAGAAGGGAAGTGGAGAAAGGGCCTCCGATCCTACACATCTGATCTCATGGTGGGGAAAAAAGGCAAAACGCTGGGGAAAACACGGGTACACCTAGCAAAAAAAAACTCAGAATAAAAACACAACGTTTCAAAATTATATTATTTAAGCAAACAAGATTCGATAAGAAAGAAATAGAAATGACTGTCAGAAAAAAACTACTAATGTGGTGTGCCTTAGAAATTAATATAACTTTGAAATCACTTCCGAAAATGTCAAATTGTAGGCAAAAAAAAAAATTTTAAATAAATTCAAACATAAAATATATTTTTGCATACTTTTATAAATTTTTACACTAGCTTTAAGACCTCACTGTTTTCTGTGATACTCCTATATATATTAAGCTTTTTAGTTTTAATACTCAAATTTAAAGAGCATACAGATTTAGTGATATAATTATAAAACGCTTAATTCCAGAACAGAATATATTTTAAGAAAAAAAAAACAATTTTTTCGAGTGTAACTGGCGAAGGGCTTGCGAAATGTTTACTCACAGCAAATGGTGTTTACACTAGTTGCATGCTCGCAGGAAATTTGGCTGCCATTGCGAAAGCATTTGGCCGGAAATCCAGAAATTCATCCGTTCGATTGCATTGGTTCCAATTTCATTAACAGCCCTTGTGAAAAGATTTGCAGGGCTAACGGGGCATAGACCACATGAATGCTCATCGACTGCCTACACTCAGAGAAACAAACATGTAATTGACAATTAAAAAAGCAACTAAGACTTAAAGTCCTGTAGCCATATTATTTATAGAATGAAGTGTACTGTAGGAATATTACTAACTTTAATTTAGTTATATTTTATATAATGGTACATTTTAGATCCATATATAGAGTTTTTTATTTTAAATTTTATTGTTTTATTTTTCAGTGCCATATTTGGTGTTGCCAATGAGTTTTTCCGTTCGACTCTCGTTGCAATTTGGGCAAACAAAATTTGCTTTGCGACCATCAAAAATTCCACTTTTCATAATATTTTCAAACACTGCTGGCTGAAATGTATTAATTTTCTAAAACATGATTTGGGAAGTAGCTTAAGTTTTATATTTATCGGTACCACTCAAACTAAAATAAATTTATATTTACCATACATAATATATATATATATATGTATATATATGTAACAAAGCTCACCCGCAGGTGTTGAATATCCTGGGGGGAAAAAAAGGGAGAGGGATTTGATAAGGGATCCAAATCCAGGCAGGAAATCAAAAATACTCACAGCTGGCGCCTTAAATGTAAGATAACAAGTTTGTAATTTCGGCATAATTGTGGGCTTCTGGGTGGGATGAGCAGAGCCCATTCCACTTATTTTTTCGAAATTGAAATTGTGGGGCTGCTGTATTAATAATATTAAAATCTAAATCGCATATTTTTATCTGTCGCTGACTGCTGCTGCTGCTGCTCTGCACACAATTGCCAAAAAGTTTGTTTTTCTTGCTTTTATGCGTGTGGGTGGTGTTCCGGGGTTGTGGGCTCCGGGGTCATGGGGTCATGGATCCGGAAGCACCGAGTTCACACACGTGCTGACAACAAGCCAATTAAGCGAATGTCTAACTCAAAACAGCGATTTAAGTCGGCATGCTGATAAAATTGCCACATTCTGGAATATTTGATATTTCACACAACTTGGACACTAAACTGCGCACATTCGCCATTTGCCATTTGCCATTTGCCAATTGAAATTTGACACGCAGCCAAGAGTATCCAATAAACGCTATTCGATTTAATTTAAATTGGCTTTCCTTTTTGATTGTGTGGCTATGATTTTGATTCGTGTGTAGTTTAATTTGAAACTTGAGTGTCTTTGATTTTCAGTATTTAAATTGAATTATTTTAAAGAGATTATTCCCTGTGCCGCCCACTCAAGTCAGTTGATTTCCATTCCAGTGCGTTCGGGATCGAAGTCCCTCTCGATTTCATTAAAAACTTTAATGAAACTGTCGCCATCGACAGCTAGACAAACAAGGCAATAAACATTCCTTGACCCCCAGTTTTTCTTGACGGTTATACTTTTCTTTCTCTATTGGTCTTACCGCTTCTGCTTGAATAGCTAAATAAAACGAAAAAAGCAAAATCAAAAGCAAAAGCAAAGCACACTTTCTGCCGTGGGCAGTCGCCAGAAATATTTATTATATTGTAAATATAATAAATAGAAAGGCCTTTGTGGCAAAATCAAAGTCGACTTCCCCAAGGGCAACGTGCACAATGTATATATGTATGAATGTGCGAGTATATCTAAACATAAAAGGTATTTTCTGTTGTTCTTGTGTGGCACATGTTGAATTTGATATGTCATTGTGCGGATTTGCTGGGGATTTTCGAAACTAATTGCACTGAGGTGAGTGAGTGAAATGTGAGGTGACAGGACCAATACCCTGGTTTCAATCTCTTTATGACCCCAGCATTGAATATAACGACTGCCGCCAAAGGACTGTAGTAATTAAGAAAGCCGCACAATTAAACGGCTTTCCATTCGCCGAAAAGTTGCGGATGGCCAAGTGAGAGTGGTTCGCAATCCATTTATCTCGGATTCGTGCGGCTGCTGTGCGCGAATCTCATTAAAAATTCAATAAATTTATAAAAAAATATTTGCCAGAGAGTGCAGCTCCTCCGTTCTTGTTGTTTTTTGTAGCCGCAGGCTGTCCGACCATTTGCTCGCAATAAATGAAAATAAATTGTTGCCCGCCAACAACTCGTTGAAAGTCCTGCTGCCATGCTATACAACACATTTTGGCATTTAAGTTCTGCCAAGTGAAAATGAAAACGAACAGAAATGGGAATGGGAAGGGGAAGGGGAATGGGAATGGGAATGGAAACCTCCCTGCTACCAGAAACAAAAAGCTGAGGAAAAGTCGAGCGACTGGCGAAAAGCCAATGAGAAATATCGACACCATTTGATTTTGCAGACAATGTTAACGATGATGTTGAGGCTGATGGTTGATGGTTGTTAGTTGTTGGTTGTTGGTTGTAAATTGTTGGTTGTTGGTTATTGGTTGATGGAAATGGTGATGTTGCCCAGCCAGGCCCATGATGGTCCTGATGTTGATTTATCGCCTAGCACACAAAGCATCCGCTGGGCTGTGTCAAATGCCCAAAACGGCCGCTTCGGCGACTTCCCCTGGTCAATGTCAAAGGAAGCCGCACATTGGTTCAGCCCCCCTCCCAGGAAATACATAAACATGCCATATAAAACCCCGAAAACAAACTGCCAAGTTAACACAAATCAGAGTATAACACCACATCCTCTATCTGCTTGCAAATGGGGACACACAAACCAGTACAAAATGTGCGAATAAGTACCGAAGTACAACTATTTCGCTGGATTTGGCCAAGTGTGCCGACTTCGTTTGGCCATTTCCCTTTCCGCATCGCTGCTTTTCACTCGGTGCTTCGACTGTGTGAAATATATATTTTTTCGGCCACGCACATAAAAATGTTGTAAAACAAAGCGACGAACCGAGAACTCTGTGTGTGTGTGTGTGGGGTGTGGGTGGGTATCTTCCGGAAGAAACCGTCAACTAAATTCGTTCAACGTGACATGAGCATGACAAACGGACTTCCATCCCAGCGATATCGGAATTTAGGCCCTATCTTTGCCAAGTTAGGTCTTAAGTCTTAAAGGGTGTGTGCCTTTAAAAGTTTGTGGCTCTAATCTTTAAAAGTCTGCAATTGCCCTTACCAAGTCATATAATTGATGTCAATGAGCAGAGATTTGGAAGCTATAACATTCCTTAATAATATTTAATCAATGAGAAAAGACTTGGAAGAGATTGCATTCCATCTTGTCAAGTCCATCAGAACTTTTTATTCAAAAGTCAAAAAATCTAAAAGAAATAATAGTCGGCTTACCTCGTTGAACTCGTCTTAAAATGTCGTTTATAATATGACTACTTGGTAAAAGCTAACTACAAAAGATATGCCACTTAGCCACAAATCCGGAAGTCATGTTCTCTGGAAGATGAATGAGTATTTAGTTCAGTTCACACTCCCACATATGTAAGTATAAAGGGCGAATATTTTAATTACATTTTAATTACATTTTATTTACTTTTTCATTCACTTGTCACATTTACCAAGTTTGAGCTACATAATTACAATTATTTTACCATCACTTAGTCTACTTGCGTATATAAATGTCTCATCTGGTGAATAACATGGCCAATAACCTTT